ATTAGTTTTTTATGAACATTAATTTATTTGGGGTACAAAATTTAAAACTACCCGAAAAATATGTATAAAAGTTTAATCCTTGTCTACTTGTTGCAAATAGAGCACAAATTTTTATTAACATAAACTAGTTGCACTAATAAATATAAGGCACAGTGGGGTATAAACAATTAAGTAAGTCAAATAATTCATTTGAGACGAACTAACTAACTTACACTAACTAACGAACTAACTAACTAACTAACTAACTAACTAACTACTAACTACTAACTAACTAACTAACTACTACTAACTAACTAACTAACTAACTAACTAACTAACTAACTAACTAACTAACTAACTAACTAACTAACTAACTAACTAACTAACTAACTAACTACTAACTAACTAACTAACGAACTAACTAAACTAACTAACTAACTAACTAACTAACTAACTAACTAACTAACTAAGCTAACTAACTAACTAACTAACTAACTAACTAACTAACTAAACTAACTAACTAACTAACTAACTAACTAACTAACTAACTAACTAACTAACTAACTAACTAACTAACTAACTAACTACTACTAACTAACTAACTAACTAACTAACTAACTAACTAACTAACTAACTAACTAACTACTAACTACTAACTAACTAACTAACTAACTAACTAACTAACTAACTAACTACCTAACTAACTAACTAACTAACTAACTAAACTAAACTAACTAACTAACTAACTAACTAACTAACTAAATAACTAACTAACTAACTAACTAACTAACTAACTAACTAACTAACTAACACTAAACTAACTAACTAACTAACTAACTAACTAACTAACTAACTAACTAACTACTACTAACTAACTAACTAACTAACTAACTACTACTAACTAACTAACTAACTAACTAACTAACTACTAACTAACTAACTAACTAACTAACAAACTACTAACTAACTAACAAACTAACAACAAACAAACAACTACTAATAACTAACTAACTAACTAACTAACTAACTAACTAACTAACTAACTAACTAACTAACTAACTAACTAACTAACTACTAACTAACTAACTAACTAACTAACTACTAACTAACTAACTAACTAACTAACTAACTAACTAACTAACTAACTAACTAACTAACTAACTAACTAACTAACTAATAACTAACTAACTAACTAACTACTAACTAACTAACTAACTACTAACTAACTAACTAACTACTAACTAACTAACTAACTAACTAACTAACTACCTAACTAACTAACTAACTAACTAACTAACTAACTAACGAACTAACTACTAACTACTAACTAACTAACTAACTAACTACTACTACAACTAACTACTAAACTAACTAACTAACTAACTAACTACTAACTAACTAACTAACTAACTAACTAACTAACTAACTAACTAACTAACTAACTAACTAACTAACTAACTAACTAACTAACAACTACTAACTACTCACTACACTAACTAACGAACTAAACTAACTAACTAACGAACTACTACTAAACTAACTAACTAACTAACTAACTCTAACTAAATAACTAACTAACTAACTAACTAACTTAACTCACTAACTAACTACTAACTAACTAACTAACTAACTCCTAACTAACTCACTACGAACTACTAACTACTAACTAACTAACTACTAACTACTAACTAACTAACCTAACTAACTAACTAACTAACTAACTAACTAACTAACAACTAACTAACTAATCTAACTAACTAACTAACTAACTAACTAACTAACTAACTAACTAACTAACGAACTAACTAACTACTCACTATAACTAACTAACTAACTAACTAACTAACTAATAATTAACTAACTAACTAACTAACTATTTAGGCGTATACTTAGGTATTTAGGCGTATACTTAATATGTGTAGTATCAATAAATCATTAATACGTATACGTACAGGTTGTAGTTAATAAAACCAGTGCAATTTCACAGTTGATTGATTTTATATGTTCTCAAGAGCTACGACTTTGTCTTAGAGAGTAAATCAAAATTATACATTTTTGCTAAAGTGACACCGAGTCTCCAAAATGGGGCCAATAAAAAAGTGAATGACTTTGTGCAAAACAGAGAGAGCTGGGTCTTTTTTTTTGGTCTTTGTCATGTAATGGTGCCCATGTATGGTTGTTCACAGAGTTATGTATTATTTCAGTAATAGATAGATTACGATAGGAGTTCCTTTATGTTATGAAAAATAATTTAGTTATGATTAGCCTGTTCTTACCTTTAATATTTGTTGACAATTATTATAAATCCTTACGTATTTTATCTGCAAATAAAAATAATAAAAAATAATTAATTAATGATTTTAAAAGATGAAAAAGCTATTTAAACACAAATGAAGTGCTTTTCTATTTTGGATATAAAATGATTATTAAAATACAGTATAATCAAAGCCAAAACCTCCAGACCAATAGAACCAGCACTATGGGTATACTAACCTACTTTCTTTATGGATTTTTAATTCTTTGCTTTAATATCTTTTAATATACTTTTACATTTTTTTTAATTTTTCCACAATTTCTTCAAACCTTAACCACTGTATAAACTTTTGCTAAAAGCAACTCCCGTTTATATGGTGTTGAAATCTCAGTAACTTTTCTCGTTTTACTGTTTTAACTTTAATATTTTATTTTAGTGGAAAACTTTTGCACTTTATTTTTCTACTCATTGTGCAAAAATTTTAATAAAGAGTTTTATTTCAGCGATTTTTCACTTGTCATAAAAGAACAACAAAAACTATATGTTGGTGAAATGAAAACAATAAGGAGAAAACAAGTAAGAAAAGAATAGACGGTCAAGTTTGACAATACAATACCCTACAACAACCATAAGTTTTGAAAAAGAAATTTTCAAAGGCTATAGTGTTTTTCGTTAGAAGTCTTGGCACTTGGGTCAAATATGACCAATACTTATTGCACGTATCGCGAATATAGACAAACTGACAGAAGGATGATTTTTAGGATTAAAATTTTTGTGGTTTACAAGTACTAACATAAACGCATAATACCCTCCGACTATATTCTTCTTGAGTATAAACAAACTTTATTAAAGCGAACATATAATGATCATTATCGCCAGTATTTTAAAGATAATAATGAAAACGATGATGTTGATTATTATTGGTTGTTGTTGTTGTTGTTGTAGCAGCGACACCTGAAATTACACGTATATATATTTAAACATTATTCCCTACTCTTCTTCTTCTTCGCTCTGGTTATCCAACTCCGTTAGATCTAAACCCAGTAGACGAGCCGCATCCAACGGCTGAGTCCAAAGGGATTCAGGTTCCAACTGAGTTGGATTTGCCCTGCAGTTAAAAAGGTGTTGAACATTGTGTGGGCCTGTTCCACACGCAGGACAAAGATCTTGAATGGTGTCGTTTATTCTCGACCAGTACGAGTTTAAACGGGTACACCATCCGGATCTTAGTTGTGCCAATACCACTCTAGTACGACGTGGTAGGTTTCGTTCCTCGTTTGCAACGGGTGGGGGACGGCCTCCCAGTATTATACTATCTCGGTGGGAATTGATGGAGTCTTCCACCGCCTGTTGATGGATAGTATTCAAAGCTGTCCTGTATGAGCTTTCGTCCTCTATATCATCCAGGTGTTCTTGGATGTCACTCTCATACATACGAAGATCTTTCCTGACATGCCTCGGGGGGGGTTCTAACTCCGTTAAATGGTGGTTAGGGTGGCCCCTCCGATGACATCCCAGTAGGAACTGCTTTGACAGCATGATGTTATGTTCCTTAACTGAAAGCATCTTCGTTTCGTCATGCAGATGTTCTTCGCATGTCATTTGAATGCAGCCTGTCACCGTTCTTAGGGCTGCGTTTTGACAGCTTTGAAGCTTCTTCCATTGCGTGTCGCTAACTCTAGGTGTCCACACTGGCGCTGCGTAGTTTACCACTGACCGGCCAATCGTTTGGTAGGTAGTCAACAAGGTTTCTTTATCCATTCCCCAAGTGCTGCCGGCTAGAGACTTGAGTACCTTGTTTCTACTTCGCATCTTGTTGCAGATTGCAGTGGTGTGCGCTGAGGACATAAGGAGGCTATCGAATGTGACACCAAGTATTTTGGGGTGATTTACCGTCGGAATTTTTTCGCCATCGACTGTCACATCCAGTTCTAGCCCTACTTCCTTAGTCCAGGTGGTGAAGAGAGTTGCTGAGGATTTCGTAGGCGATATTTTTAAATTCCTTGAATGGAAGAAGCTGGAAAGATCACATAGGTAACTGTTTATCAAGCCGCAAAGGTCATCAATACTATTGCCCGTGGCCAATATCGAGCAGTCATCGGCGTAAGATATTATTTGGACGCCGTCCGGGGGTGTTGGGAGTTTAGACATGTAGAAATTAAACAGGATCGGCGAAAGAACTCCACCTTGGGGTACTCCCTGTTTAATTCTACGAGATTTAGATCTCTGGTTCCTAAACTCCACAAATGACTGTCGACCACACATGTAGTTCACTAGCCATCTCTTGGTGTTGTCAGAGAGACCAGATGTTAAAATGTCTCTGAAGAGAATGGCGTGATTGACCGTATCAAACGCTTTTGATAGGTCGAGTGCCACGAGGACCGTTCGTTGACATGGTCGGGCCTGATTAAGGCCGTGGCAAACTTGTGTGGTGATGGCGGTTAAAGCTGTTGTCGTACTGTGCTTTAGGCGGAATCCATGTTGATGATCTGCAGGATGTAGGTGTTGTTGTAATTCCGGGAGGAGTAGTGCCTCAAGCGTCTTGGCAATTGGTGACAGGAGGGAGATAGGCCTGTAAGATTCTCCCTGGTTTGCACTTTTCCCTGGCTTCAGCAAGGGAACAACCCTGCCCAATTTCCAGACCTCGGGTATTATAAGGGTTGACATCGACAAATTGAGGACTTTTGTAAGGTACTCAACTCCCGGTTCATCCAGATTTTTCAGCATCAACATGGATATACCGTCTGGGCCAATAGCTTTCGATGACTTAGCATCTCTGATGACCTTCGTAACCTCGCTCGTAGTAAAAACATATGGTCTGTCACTGACTCGAAGATCGTGTACCTTCCTTACGATGCTTCTTTTCGCCTTGTGTCTGTCGGGGTGCTCTATAAATTGACGTGCAAAGTAGTTCGAGCAGCGCTTAGGGTCGGATACGGTATTTCCATTGAAGGATATCGCGACCCTATCCTCATGTTTGGCTGGATTCGACAGAGATCTGACAGTAGACCATAGTTTGCTGGCTCCGGAGGTTAGGTTACAGGTTTTTAGGTGATTTACCCACTTTTCCCGCTTGTAGTCGTTAACCAACTTGCTGATCTCCCGGTTGAGCTGTTGAATTCTGGGATCGCTGGGGTTGGTTCTTCGGATTTCGTCTCGCTCATCTGCTAGTTCCGCTGCTGTTGCTGGGAAATTTGGTCTTATAAGCGGGATTCTACCAGCAGGTATTGTACGAGCAGCGGCAGCAAGGACGATTTCCCGGAACTCCCTTTCTGCGGAGCGCACGTCAGAAGGGGGGGGGTAAATTCCTAAACTTGCGGTTGGTAAACTCTCTGAAGCTTATCCAGTCTGCCTTTTTTTGATTTTTATAAGTCCGGCGTTCAGAGACTATAAAGTCCGTCGGTTTGTCAAGCTTTATTATTATGGGTAGATGGTCTGATGACAGCGAAACTATAGGTTGCCAGGACGTATAGTTTAAGAGACCAGCACTACAAATTGTTATATCTGGCGAGCTCGTGCAACTACCCATAATTCTGGTGGGGGCATCGTCATTCACTGTGCAAAACGTGGAGTTGTCTATCTGTTCCGCAAATGCTATACCCCTCTGGTCATCCCCGAGATTCGAGTGCCAGAGCTCGTGATGAGCATTGAAGTCTCCCATCACGACACGGTTATCACCTTCCAGGAGGAATTTGATGTCAGGGTGATAACCTGCAGGTAAGCTGTTGACTGGCGGAATGTACACGTTGTACAGCTCAATTTCGGCAGCACCTGACTTAACCGCAATCCCCTGGTGTTCGATGTTTGGATCTGGGCTATTAAGGTCAGGCGAAATGAGTCTGTACTGCACAGAGTTGTGTACGATGAATGCGATGCCTCCACCACCGCTCCTTGCGCGATCCATTCGCAAGATGTTGTAATTATTACAACGCTGTAATTGGCAGCTGGACGTTAATTTGGTTTCTTGGATCGCTGCGATCTGGACTTTATGATGCTGCATAAAGTGAGTTACCTCTGTGATCTTACTAAGGAGGCCGTTACAATTAAACTGCATTAATGTCAACACTTCAGGTCTATGGGCAGCAATTTGAGGTGTTAGTGGCTGCGAGTGTATTTGTTGTTGTGGCTGTGGGTGTTGTAGTGGCCTGTGTTGCTGTTGTGTTAGATGCTGTTGGGGAGGAGGTGTAGCCGTGCTCGATTGCGTCGATGTTGATGACGTTGAGGACGGTGAAGGGCTGCGTTGTCTATTAATGCAACACGGGGCAACGAAACCATCACTCCACTCCCCAAGATTATTCAGACCGCTGCAGTTACGGTTGGCATCTTTCCTGAAGTGGACCCACTCGTTGCAAACGGTGCACCTAACTGATGGTCTGTTAGAGTGCAGAACTCCGTGGCAAACAGAGCAGTACCATGGTCCTGGATTTTGTTCAACTCCGGCTCGGACCAAAAGAATACGGAGCAGATTTGCCGGAATAGTCTGCCCCTTAAAAGAAAAAAGAAGAATAGAGAATACATACGTGTAAAGTCGGTGTGGCTGAATTGACAATCCTTGGTCGTTGTTCGTTGAACTCCGAGTCGTTCCGGTGCGAAGAACCGATTGGTAGTGTTATTTGGTGGGAGTATGATTTTAATTATTTAAACATGGCCAGTATGAACCGTTTGCATGTATTAAGATTGGGACGTCTGTATATCTTTGTTTTGTTTCAGGAATTAAAAACTTTTAACTCCAAATTTAGACAACATTAAAGGCTAAAAATCTAAATAGGTTTATTTTTCAAGAAATTAATAAAAAGGTTAAACTAATAATTCTAAATAAGTCGAACAGTTTGCTCGAGTCAGAAATTTTCTTACAAAAATATTCTATAGAATTATTTTATTGATCAATTCTGAAATTTTTTTTCAAAACTTTATCGATAGAAAATTGATCGAGTTTATTAGAAAATTTTTTGTAACAGAAAGTTTCTATTAAAAATTGATCGTGTAAGAAATTTTCTATTGATTGAGACTGAAATTTTATATAAAAAATTTATTGCTACAGCAATGTTATCGTGTTTCTTAGAAAATTGATTGCATCGAAACTTTTTTTTTAAAAAAAATGATTACGTCAGAAATTTTCTTTGGAAAAATATTTTGTACAGAAAGTTGATCATAAGAGAAATTTGTCTTAAGAAAGAAAGATTCAAAATTGATCGTATCTTTAATTTTCTGTAGAAAAATTGACCTTATCATAGGTTTTCTATAGAAAATTGCTCATGTCATAACTTTTCTATAGAAAAGTGATCGTGTCAGAATTTTTCTTTAGAAAAGTGATTGTGGATCAAATTTTTTTTATAAAATCAATCAATTCTCACTTGAAATCTTCGTAGAAAATTGATCTTGACCAAAATTTTTAATAAGAAATTGATCGCGGCTAAAACTTTCAATAGGAAATTGATCGCGGCTAAAATTTTTTGTGTTAAATAATTTCTATGAAAAATTGCTTATGTCAGAACTTTTCTACAGAAAATTGATCGTGTCAGAAATTTTTTATAGAAAATTGATCGTGTCAAAATTTTTTTATAGAAAATTGATAATAACATAAATTTTTACTTGAAATCCCCATAGAAAATGGATCTTGTCCTAAATTTTCAGTAGGAAATTGATCGCGGCTAAAATTTTCTATAAGAAATTTTTAATGTTAAATAATTTCTATAGAAAATTGATCGTGTCCACAGAAAATTGTCGTTATTAGAAATATTCTATAGAAAATTGATCGATAGAGTATAAATTTGTTTAAATTTCCCTAGAAAAATGTATCGCATCAAAAATGTTTTCTCATTATTGATCGCGACAGAAATAACCTTTTTAAAATTGATCGCGATAGCAAATTTCCATAAAAAACTAAATAACGTAGATATTTTCTTTAGAAAAATTATCAGAAGCAACATTTTTGACCATCATTTCCTATAGAAAATTGGTCTTGACTTTATTTTTGTAGTGAATTGATCGTGAAAGTAATTTTCTATAGAAAATTGATAATAGCTCTATAGATAATTGATCGTGAAAGTAATTTTTTATAGAAAATTGATCTATAGGAAATTGATCGTAACTCAGTATTTTTATTAGATTTTTTTTTATAAAGAACTGATTTATGTTGGAATTTTTTCTAAAATATTGATCGTGGTTGAATTATTCTACAGAATGATCGTGTAAGATTTTTGATCGTGATCGTGGCAGCATTTTCTATAGGAAGTTGATCGTCACCTAATATTTTGACTCATATTTTATATTGAAAATAAAAAAACTGATCGGAGTTAAAATTTTCTAAGTGATCGTGGCATCATTTATAATCATAACTGCCTAAGGACTTCATTTTTATAGTGAATTGATCATGACAGTAATTTTCTATAGAAAATTTATCATGACAGTAATTTTTTATAGATAATTGATCGTGGCAGTATATTCTATAGGAAATTGATCGTAACTCAGTATTTTTATTAGAATTCTTTTTTTTATAGAATATTGATCGTGGTTGAATTATTCTATAGAATATTGATCGTGGCTGAATTATTCTACAGAATGATGATCGTGAAAGAATTGAAAAAAAAAAGATTTTATATAGAAACTTGATCGTGGCAGCATTTTCTATAGGAAATTGATCGTCACTCAATATTTTGATTCAAATTTTATATTGAAAATAGAAATCTAATCGGAGTTAAAATTTTTTATATGATCGTGAAAGAATTACAAAATTGATTTTATACAGAAAACTTATCGTAGCAGCATTCATGATCATAATTTCCTATAGGACTTCATTTTTATAGTGAATTGATCATGACAGTAATTTTCTATAGAAAATTGATCATGACAGTAATTTTTTATAGAAAATTGATCGTGTCAGCATATTTTATAGGAAATTGATCGTAACTCAGTATTTTTATCAAAATTTTTTTATAAAAAACTGATTTATGTTGGATTTTTTTTACAGAATATTGATCGTGGCTGAATTATTGTACAGAATGATCGTGAAAGAATTAAAAAAAAAATATTTTATACATAAAACTGATCGTGGCAACATTTTCATGAACATTTACATGATCGTGACCCAATATTTCCATTCAAATTTTATATTGAAAATAGAAAACTGATCGGAGTTAAAACTTTCTATAGAATATTGATCGTGGTTGAATTATTCTACAAAATGAAATTATTAAAAATTATTTTTATAAAAAAAAAAACGTGGCTGAAATTTTGTATAGAAAATTCATCTTGTTTTTAATAATCTATAGAAGATTGATCATGAAGGAAATTTTCTTCAGAAAAGTTTGTATGGCAAAGCCAATTTTAAAATTATATTAAACCCTTTATCTTAAATAAAAAACTAAATTTATTCTCCTTTAAATCCAGCTGTTACTTGCAACATAATTTACATAAACAAATACAAACACGTGAGTTGAAAAAATACATCCTTTAGCATTTAATAAATCCTAAAGCCTGTGCCACAAATTACCGCACAATTTAACGACTTTTTGAAAGAAAAAAAATAAAAACATAAACAACCAAATGACTAAACTCTAACCAAAGCAAAACAGGCAAACCCCATTTTATGGCAATTTAATTTTATGGCTAAGATTTTATAACAAAATCAAAAAAATACTGAAAATAAAAACTAAATTACCAAACAGACCGTAAAAGAAAAATAAAAATGAAAAACAGCTAAATACAACGTGCATTAGAGATGCCTACCAAGAAATAAATACAAAAAAAAAAAAAAACTGTAAGGCTTACACAAACACACCTTTAAAAAAGTAGATTATCTTTCACGCATATTAATATAAATATAAATAATAATGATTTCGTCATTAAATCAGGCAACTTTTTTTCTTACAGTTTGTGGCCAGAATAAATAAAAAATATTGCATTAAAAAGCTGCAAGTAATTTCCACAGCGTATGCTGTTTGTATAACTCCCACAGGGCACAGGTGTAAATTGCTGTTGCTTTTAAAAACCAAAAAAAGAAAAAACTGTTTATAAAATTTTCATTCACAGCAACACTTTGGTTGAACACTTTCCGTATGGCCGTTTGTTTTCTGGCCAAAAAAAAAAAAAAAACAACAACAACACTAACGTTAAAACAATTGTCCAAGTTAGTTTCATCTTGTTTGTTGATTACTTTTTATTGTACAGCAATACACTCGTACCAATAATATTTAACTGGAAAAAGTTTTCGTAACTGCATTGTATTTGTGCGGTAGCTTCACTAAAATGAGCAACAGTTTCCATTTTAACGCCTCATTAACTTGACTTAAACGTAGCCACATTGCAATTACTAGAGACTATGCAGGTAGTTAAAGAACAGGGGCGTAATTGACAAAAGTTTGTATGGAGTATTTATTGAATGAGAATTTTTTTTCATAAAAAAGTGATCGTGAACAAAAATGTTTATATAAAATTGATCGTAATAGAAATTTTCTATAGAAAATTGATAATAATAAAAAATTTCTAAAGAAAATTGATGATATACAAGAATTTACAGAATATACACGATAGACATTTCTAATAAAATAGTGATCGTGCACAGATGGAAATTTTCTAAAGAAAATTTCTCATGATTCAAAAAATTTTTATGGAAAAAAATGTTCTCGGAATTTTATATAAAAAAGTGATTGTGAACAGAAATTTTTATATAAAAAAAAAATTGTAACAGATTTTTTTTATAAAATTTGTCGAAAGAGAACTTTTCTTTAGGAAATTGATCGTGGAGAAGAATGTTTTATTGAAAAGTGATCGTGTATAGAAAATTTTTATAGATAATTTTCAACTTTCTGTTGATCGAGGATAGAAATTGTATTCAAAAATTTTTTATGCAAAAAAAATTGTCTACAGAAAAATGATCGTGATCGTGATGGTGATGGTGATGGTGAACAAGAATTTTCTATTGAAAATTGATCGTGTATAAACTTTTTTACAGAAAAATTTCTTCTTTCTGTTGATCGAGGATAGAAATTGTATTGAAAAAATTTTTATGAAAAAAATTTTCTTCAGAAAAATGATCGTGAATAGAAATTTTATATAAAAAAGTGATCGTGAACAGAAACTTTCATATAAAATGCATTGTAACAGATTTAAAAAAAAAATGACGAAAGAGAAGTCTTCTTTAGGAAATCGATCGTGAACAAGAATTTCCTGCAGAAAATTGATCGTGAATAGAAATTTTATATAAAAAAATGATCGTGAACAGAAATTTTTATATAAAATAAAT